TGCATGTACAGCTCTTCTTTTGTAATTTTAATGCTTTGCATAATTTTACAGATACAGTTTGCTGAAAAAGTGTACTCTGGAAGTTTTTCACATTTTCATATCTGACAAATTTGCTTTAATCTAAACCAGGGATTCTCAAATCCAGGCCTGGCAGGTCAGTGTCCTGCAGCTTTTAGATGTGTTGCTGGTCCAACACTCCTAAACATTGAAAGCATGGGTCCTCTAGGCCTGGATTTGAGGAGCCCTGACTTAATCTATTCCATTTCATGTTAACAGGTTTTGACCCTCTCAAACGTGAACCTCAGCCTCAAGTCTTTTGTCACCTCTAACATGTTTTCTACGATTGTTCTGTATGTAATTCTGTTCATTTGTTTTCTGTCAACACAAGTCAGACAGTTACCCTTATAAGTAACTATGTACTTGTAAAAGCATCCTTTTCTTCACCAGAGAAGAAAAAGATGCTTTTCTTCTCTGGTGAAGAAAAGCATCCTGACAGCATGATGCAACCACCGCTGTATTTTATGATGTGGTTGATGTACAGTGTTAGCTTTCTGCCACAAATAACATTTTCCATGTTGACCAAAGAGTTTAACTTTAATTTAATTTAATTTAATTTAATTTAATTTAATTTAATTTAACTTCTTCTCATTTGCTGGCTTGTAGCAAACTATAAGTTGAACTTCCTTTTAAAAATGGCTTCACTCTTGATACTTCTTTATAAAGGTTTGAGTTTTGGAGATGTCTAGTTCCTTTTGTATCAACAGATTCTCCCGCCTGAATTATGGATCCGTGCGTCTTCTCCAGAGTTTCATTCGACTTTTTGGTTGCTTCTGTCAATATTGCACACCTTATCTGGCCTGTTAGGTTAGCTGCACAACATTTTCTTAGGACTTTTCCATCTGTGCCATACTTTTTGCATTTTTCAGTGATCATCATTACTTAGTGGGATGTTCTAATAAAATACATTGAAGTTTGAGATGACAAAATGTGACAAAATAATACCTTAACAAGACACTATTTTTCCAGTGTGTGCATAATAACCCAGTAGTACAAAACTGTCATGAACAGATTTATTTTAGTGGCCAAGGCATCATAAGTGTTAATGTTTTAAGAATGTTGCATAAGAGCACACATTCAAAGTAAGTTGTGCCTTGGGCTTCTATATAATGGACTTTCCCGCCTATAACAACAGGATACCTGGGTGTGTATACACACTCCTTTGACCTTGCCTTTATCCTGCTTGAGGAACGTGGATGCAGGGATTCAAAAGGTCAGCACACTGTGCCGACACTGTGCACAAATAGTCTACAGGTTGGAGAAGTCCAAAAATGTTCCTGGCTGGAACTTCAGAGCAAGGTGTGTTATTGTAAGTACTGGAAGTGACATGCTGAATGATTAAAACAGTAAAACTGTGCTCCCTCACCTACGTCAACTACATTTTAAAACCTATATGATGGATCAAATTGCAAGTTTTGACTTTCACCTAAATTGTTCCTGCCAGGGATATACTATTATGTATGTTTTTGTACAGCAATGTGTGAAAAACAAACGCACTTGACAAAAAATTGATGCATTTTCAAGTAAAAAAAAAAAAACCTGCTGGACCTCAAACAGAATCTTTTCATGTCTTAAAATTGATCGTCCAGCTGCTCTGTTAGAGGAACACGTGCACTTTTGATTGATGTCTGTTGAGTAGACATTTGTGCTGACTTAATAAGCATTCATCTCCACACCTCACACATCTGACTCCTGCAGGCCAGAGCCTGGCAGCCGGTCGGCTTCAGCTCCTCGGGGAGTTCCTCCAAACCTCATTGTTAGGTTTCCTTGCTGCACCAGATGACACCTTGTTGATTTTCTCTCTCCCATTATTGTCTCAGGAAAGTGATTGTTCCTAATTTCCCATGCGATGGTTTATAGAAACAGTGAAGGTCCTGAAGAGGGCAAGGCTGGAGATACTGTACAAAAAATGGGATGTCCGACAGCAATATCAGCACCACTGTCCGCAGTGGGGGTTTGTTTTCTTGCTCAGTGTTTTGGGTGTTTCACATCTCAGCATTTGATTTTTTTTCCAGATGGTCTCTTTGGGCCATGGGCAAAGACTTTTCCTGTGTAATTTTCAAAGATGGGTCAGCCTGAGGTTGATAAAAAAAAAACAACAAAAAAAAACTATTTGTCTTGTACTTGCCAAATCAAGTGTAGAAGGGTTTATAGTTTTTAAACAAACTTTAAACAAACTCAAGTTCAACTCTTTGCACTTTGTGGGGCAAGGAAAAAACATGTTCAGTGAATGTGCCTGCTGTTTGTCCCAGTACTTCTGAGAATAAAGCAAAGAATCCTGTATTTTACAGAGTTTAGCTACAATAATTTTTTAAATGCTTAAAAAAATAACTTTATGAGCTGAAGGTTTGAAAACTAAGTTCTGACAGGTTTTTTGTTTGGGTCCTTTGATTACGCTTCGCTCTTGTGCTTAACTTGAATTTTGTGTGCACAACATTATTTTATATATTAATGTAACAAAACAAAAAAATAGAAATGTAAAAGTCCCTTGATATAAATCCAAACAACAGTGACTTTATTGGACAGTCGCTGAATTTGTCTCTTTTTTATTCCCTCTTCTGTGCTAGACCTGAGGTGAAGCTCACATTACTTTACCATTAAATATTGCTGTTTTACCCAGATTCCCCAGATGTGCTCTCTAGTGCCCAGATAAATATATCTGTCACCAGACAAATGACTCCTACTTTTCTCTCTAAATGTATAAAACATGCAGGGGAAAAGACCTGACATTTCTGGAATACTGAAAAATCTACCATGCTAAAAACTCATGGAAAAGTGTTTATTTAGTAAGACTTGTGATTTATACCAAGGAATTTGAATAGAATGCACAGCTAGCTCAAAGGCATTTAATTCTAATACTTTAACCCAAATGTCTTATGGGAATCTCCTTGTGACTAATGACAAAAATACTTCATATTTATAACACTTTTATACAGCATTGTCAATCTCTAATTTTTAATATAACTGTGTCCCTCTCAAATCTAAATCTTTATCACCACTAGTGTCCTGTCCGGGTTCAGCACATGTCTTACAAAAAATAGTTTTCACCTTAAGAAGTTGATCTTCTCCCTGGCACCTCCCATGGTGTTCTTCAAGGTTGTGTGCTTGGTCCTCACCTTTTCTTCTTTTAGTTTATCTTCTTCTTGGCCGTTTACCACCAAGGTCATCACTTCCACTGATATTTCTACAACTTAAAGTTGTGCAGGTAAGATTAAAATGATCCTGATGTAGATATTAAAATACCTTTATTCACTTATGAAGTTTGTTTCTGATAAGCAATTAAAGGAACATTTTACAACATAATGCAGCAATTCACAAAATAGTATATTAAAAACTGGATGCAAAAAAAAAAAATATTTATAGCCTTTCCATAACTTATGAGAAAATCTTTTGCATTACAGAAATATACTTGTAATTTCTGACTTTTGTGCATTTTCTCACTGCTACTTTGACAATGCATATGAAAAAGCAAACAATGATAAGTTTTTGAAGTTGGAAGAAGTTTTGCCACTTCCTTCAAATATTCTCTATCAGATTTAAGAGAATACTCTGAGCTACTCCAAAATATTGACATTACTTTTAGTCAGAAGAAACATGATGGCATGATTTTGTTGAATCTAATTCTACCAGGATTGTTAACCACACATCTCCACCATATCCACCTCCTCCACAACACCCTCCATTTTCACAAAATTCCTCACAGAAATAAAACCATGGATGCATCTATATTTTCTTTTACTCAACAAATATTTGGACCTAAAATTCTCATTGCATTTCCTGCCTCCCACTCAACCAGTTCTTCTAGAAGACGTCTTCATGAAAGACATCTTCATGAAACACATCAGCAAATATCTCTAAACTTATCTTCAACCATCTGAAAATATTGCTAGTCTTTGCTCTTCTCTTCCCTTTGCTGCCACTGGAACTTTAATCCACATTTTCCCAACTGCAGTTTTTTATAGCTTATCTTTTGTTGCTTATTATGCTTTAGGACATCTAACTCAGGCAGAGTTCTTCTCGCCCTCTCTTACAATAAAGATTGCACGATCCTTTCTGTTAGAAACCTTCACTGACATTCCATCGCTCAACACATTCAATCTAAACTGCATAACCTGGCTCCTCCTATCTGAAAAAACTTCTTCACCGCTATATTTTATCGCGCTGCCTGCGGTCAACACTAGTCTCCTACAATTGCCACAGAAGACGAATCTCATACCCTGGGGAAGTGAGTCCTTGTGTAGCTTTTTCCGTTCCTCTTGAAACACCTTTCCACAAACAATCAGACACTGCTCGTATTTAATCTTTTTTTCTTTTAATTTGAGTATTTTGGAACATAACATATCTGTGTGTAGCTAAGATGGGAATTCTGCAAATCACTACAACACTAAAATGTGTTAATAATGAGGCACAACAATAAAGACAAGGGGAATCTTTGAATGTGACCCCAAGCAAATGCTCAGGTTAAATCCTCGTAGGGTCGTCGTGTGGCTTTGTCATCTTTCATTAAAATCTCATTTGGAGGTCAACATGTCAAAGCTCAGACCTTCACAGAGAAACAAAGAAACATCTTCCCAAGAACTATTTATAAGCAAATCAAGGGGTGAAACATCATCAAGGTAAAAGGTGAATAATGCCATGATTTTCTTTTGTGCAGAGCTCCCCTTTGATGTAGCACGAAAAAGGTAAAGAGTCATGGGTCCAGCTCCTACCTGCAGGGTCAGTTCTCTGTGTGTCATTTGTAATAAAAATGTGAACTGTGCAGTGTTTGTCAAGATGTTACTGTTTAAATGTGAAGAATCAATTTGTTGAATAAAACAACATTAACACAAGTTTTTGTTAGTGTGAGGAAGTTGTAATGTTTAATGTGAGGTAAATAGAAAGAAACACAAATTCAAGAGAAAGCATCAGTAACACCGTTGTCATGCCTTTTTGCCTGGTCCTGTGCTTTGACCGCGCTGTGGTTGTTCAGTCTCCACAAACAAAACACCAAAAAAACCCCAGCCCTATTAGGGCTTTATAAAACAAGCACTGGAAAGCAAACAGGACATTCATTGACTTTAATGGGATGAACTGATCAACCATATCTAATAGAAATCATTGCCCCTGGCCAAAGCTGCTGTGGGATTAAATTACACGTGGGACACAAAGCTTTTACTGCTTCTTAGAAAACAGTAATTCAATATGTCTAGAGAAGAGAAGAAACAGATAAGTCCAAATTAAAACATTAAAAAAGTTTCCCTGCATGTTAAATTCAAGTGCTTATTAGAACCCGTAGGAGAAGGTGAAGTTATATTGCACAACAAAAATGTCAAAACTCTAAAATCACACATAGACAGAAATACATCATCTTACATTATTTCTCTAATGTAAAACTCCAAAAAGTCTTTGAAGTGGAAGTTTTTATTCATATTTTTTCCCACTTGAAAACAAAGTAAAGTTAGCCTCAAATGCTTCTTTTAAACCGCCTGGATCATGCGCAGTCGTAAGCTGAAAGTTTATTACTTGGCGGTCATGCAACACTAACATTCAACAGAAGAAACGAAAATCTCCAATTATAAAATATCACGTGGAAGAGAGAGAGAAAACAGATTTCAAAGCTCGCATTTTTTTTTTTTTTTTATCGTCTCAGCTTGAGAAGGCGAGTCTCAAAGTTCCTTCAGAATGGGCAGTCTTCCCTCAGACGCATCCGGAGCGCAGCAGCATCGGGTCATGGAGAGGTGTCCTTAGTTTTATCAAGTACGGGATAGCAGCTGAAGAGCTGTCTTTGCACTGCTTTAGTAACTTGACTCATATTATGATATCCTTTTATCTTGGACTTAATTTCGATGAGATATGCCTCAATCTTGCGTAATGTCCTCAGCACGTTTGGTGACGTACTGGAGTAGAATACCCTTGACACTTTGTATTGCTGTGAATTTGAGATAATAGTTCATCTTAATGCTGTACTTGTAGCAGAAGCACATGGACATCAGGTCTGTCTGCTGTAGACATGGTTATGCCACTTATCCCCCTGTTGAGGCTCTAAACCGTGATTTCCTAGATGCGTAAACTTTACGCACGAATCCCTAACCTTTCCAAACTCTTTCCCCCTTTCTTCTCCTCTCTAGCCGATGAACACGGAGGTGTCACCTGTAGTTACGGTGGGGAACAGTCCCTTGTTGCTGTTTTTGCAAAGCGCATCAACTCAGAAAGCCAGCTCTACCAGGACCCACAGGGAGCTCTGAGACCATCGCACTGGCGAGGGCTTCGTACATTCATCGCGGAGAAGATGAACATCCAGATCCTGCCAGAGCACAAACTGTCATCGGTCGCACCGCTGAAACAGTGCGATGTGGAGAAAAAAGAGGTCGAACTGATACTGGTCAAGGACCAGAATGGTGTCCAGTACACCAGCTCCTCCATTATTTCCACCCCTGGGAACCGCGTAGGTTTGCCCGGAGCGTCTCCTGAGGGCGACCGAGAAACTTGGGGCAAGAAAATAGACTTTCTCTTGTCCGTTATTGGCTTCGCTGTGGACTTGGCCAATGTTTGGAGATTTCCATACTTGTGCTACAAAAACGGAGGAGGTGAGTGAGCAATGTGTTTCGTCACTAATGTGCGTAAAATAGCTAAAAAAAAAAGCAAAAGAAAGCAGTAAGCTCTTAGGCTTAAAATAAATGCTAATGCTGCGAAAATATAATAGAGAAGATTTTTGTGTTTCTGTACTGATATTGTCTGTTTAAATACACATATTATTATTATTATTATTATTATTATTATTATTATTATTATTATTATTATCATTTGCAACATTTACAATTCCTGGATTCATTAGAAGGCTAAAACATGTTTGTGATTTTGATGTTCAAAGTTAATCATTTTGTTTCTAATTTTAGCGCCTTTAATCTCCGATAATAGTCCCAGGAGTATAAACCGGGAGGCGGGTTTTTGCTTTCATGATCGAGGAAATGCCCCATTTTAAATTTCCTCATGCGCAAAGTGAAGTGTATAATTTGACTGTGTCTGATAGCATTTTTAAACAACTACCAAGATCATCAAGCAAAATGTCAGGTGTGCTGTTACAGGTTGTTGGACATGTATTATTATGATTTCTTTTTAGTTCATTTGCATGAATCTGAAATTATTCTGCAGACAGCAGTCTATTTAGTTGTTTGGTTTTTTTTGCGCTTTGAAATGCCTCAATCGGTGATGTTTAAGGTCATCCTCTGATATTTGAACCTTGAATGTAAGTGGTGTTTGGCTCATGACAACTGATTGAAAAAAAAAACAAAAAAACAATTGAATGCTGAATCTGCAGTGTGGTGAGAGGGAAAAGAATAAGTTTGTGTAGCTAAACCAACAAAGCATTGCTTAAAATAGTGCTGCTTTTTTTTAATCTCCCGTGTCAATGACAACGGAGGGCTCACTGGAAGCTGTGCCCTGTCCTCTGTTTGTTTTTATATTCTATTCAAATGTAAAAATAAAATCAACATGTTCTTACTCTGCACCCTCAGTGGTCCAACCCCAGCACGGAACTGTCAATCAGACTGGCCTTTGGCGAATATTTATTCATTACTGGAGATAATGTGTCACCTGTGATGGACAGTGTCAAGAGCAATTCAATTATCAAAGCTGGTTTCCTACGTTGGGGTGGATGTGCCTCTGAAGCACAGCATGAAAATAGCTTTGATCCTTCCCACTATTTTTCTAAGAATGTCAAGCCCCCTGGCCACCCTGTTTCCCTTCTTAATCCATAACACTGCACTTGTCAACATTTTCCTATCACAAAAAGTCAAACTCAAGGAAAAATGAAGAAAAGCACTTGGTTTTGATGATTTGTGTCTTTTCAGGTGCCTTTTTAATCCCATATACTCTTTTCCTGGTCATTGCTGGGATGCCACTGTTCTACATGGAACTTGCCTTGGGCCAATACAACAGGGAGGGAGCAGCTACAGTTTGGAAAATATGCCCAATCTTTAAAGGTACTTTTGGTTTAACATACACAGACTTACAGGACTCACATTCAGATTCAAACACACACGACGTATCAACTTCAGTCTCTTTGTAACCTTTTAAACTTACAGATCAGCATGTTCTTTTCTTATCGGCCTCTCATGTGTCCTTGCCCTTTAATTTTATCGTTTTGTTCTTCTCCTTTGCCCCCCTCAAAGGTAGAAAAGAGTCCCTTGTAACTAAAACCTGTCACAGCAGGTCATTCATTCGCTCTCATTGAACTCGCAACATTCTGGCTCCTTGCTACATTCATTTCACTTAAGTGAGGGAATGGAAATTGTCCTGCATACCAGCACTAGCAATCACTGTGGAAAAATATAGAAAATGAGTCATTGTCTGTGATTTTTACTCAGACACATTAACTGTCTATAAATCACATATGAAATCTAACTGAGCATTAACATTGTGGCACATTTTTGAGAAATTTACCTACAAAAGGAGATTTGATGCATTAAGAAGGAGATCTAAAAAGTAGATTTTCAGGCGTTTTCAGATGAGTTGGTGCTTTTGTTGGCTTCAGCAACAAGGTGGGAGAGTTTGTTATTTTCCTGAGCAGGATGAGCAGGTGAAGGGTTTATGAGGCTCCTCTGTTTCATGTGAAGACGTCACGTTCCGGTGGAGATAGAATAACACAACACAGGCCTCATGTTCTCCCCTAAAAGAGCTCAAAATGATGAACAGTTACTATTGTAGATGGCACTAATTTAGGTTCTGAGTTTTCAATAGCTAAGGGCGGTTTTACATCCACCTGCTCTAATTGATACTAAGGCCAGACAAAAAACTTCAAATTTAAACCAGACAATAAATGATTGTCACTAATGAACGTGTATGTTGAGACTAATTTGCATATGGACACAATAATCTGCAAAGGGAGTCTTTTACATATCTGTACTTTCCACCTTACCTGTTAAACAGTTACAAATGTGCGTGATTTGATTAGTGTAAATATGTGACATTATATTTTTCTTGTTTTATAACTATTCCTGTTTCTGTCAGGTGTGGGCTACACTGTGATTGTCATAGCCTTGTATGTTGGCTTTTACTACAACGTCATCATTGCCTGGTCACTCCACTACCTGTTCTCCTCCATGACACGTGAGCTCCCATGGCTCAAATGTCACAATGCCTGGAACAGCGCAAACTGCACTGACCCTGAACACATCAATGGGTCTGTCCTCGGCAATGGCACCTATGCCAAGTACAAGATCACCCCAGCAGCTGAGTACTACGAGTAAGTGAAATCTTTCCACTATAATTATACAGTATTATCACAAAATGTGACTTATTGTGGAGCCCACATTTATTAGCATGCCTGGCCACGATGTGTAAAGGAATCCTAATATAATGTCATCTGTTATTGCAGCAACAGGAAGTCACACTGTACATGTTTTTAATAAGAGGAGTAGGAAGCCTCCTTAATATTTTTGTTGTAATGGTGATATAACCAGAGCCATCAGAATGAACTGGTGCTTACCTCCAGCAGTCACTGGGAATCACCCAGATGGGACAAACAGCTCTGCACATACACACTCACACCTAAAGGCAATTTAAAGTGGTTAATTAAGCGAAGATGCATATTTTTAGATTGCAAGATAAAATCCACCCACAGTGATCCCACGCATGTACAAGGATAAAAAAACAAACTGGTTTTCTATATTCAAGGCAACAATGGTAATGACTACACTGCCCTGTAAGCCCATACATAGATAGGTAACGTATCACAACCTGCAATGGAATATTTTTTATTATCTGTGTCTGCATTATACCAACATCCAAACCCATGTAAAACAGCTCCTGTCAGTATGAAATGGGCAACCGGTCAGTGCAATGTGAGTTTACAACCTAAAACTGTCTAGCTGTAAGTGTTTGCGCTACAAAAAGTGTATACATAAAAAGTTCAAATGCTCTCTTTGAAGTGCTGGAAACGAGTCCCATCTGTTTATACTTCAAAGACAGCCAGTTCTTCCTCAGCTTCTGTGAAGACTGCATAGCTCAAAGGAAGTCTGTGAGATGACTTGGACTTGGACAATACAATGGACACATGCAAGGTTTGAAGTGTAGAAAACATAGAACACTATGAGGGCCAATAAGTGACGGATTAATAAGGACCTGATCCCATTCCGTTGAGCAACACGTCCCGGCTTTTGGTGTTTGTTTAAACTGTATCCCTGGATAATATTCCATCTTCCACGAAACTCCAAACCTGATCTATTGGAGGTATGTAAACACTTTTATTAACCACGTGGATTCAATGCTCACATGGAAGGTACACGGTTCAAAAAAAATGATGGGATTACAGACAGACACAAAACATGGTCCATAAAACCCAAACTGAAAATACTTCTTTTCGTTTTGTTTTCACGCTGTATTTACATTAAAGGACAGGAACATGTGCAGACTGAAAACAATAAGGCACTTTGAGACAGATCTTCCATGGGGCTAGCGACTGTAGGGGATAATAAATCCTCCTGCTTGCAGCTTTGAGAACAGGAGCAAAGCCAAAGCACAGCGTGAGGGAGGACAACTGAGTCAACAATTCAGTTGCTTCACATCTCGCACTCCTCTGCATCCACCGACATTCATGAGCTTAGTTTGTAGGCTAGCCATCATGCAGCAAACCTGATTAGTAAAACAAACTTTCAAATGAAACATTCCTTCATGCTGACGTCACACCTAATCTTACACTTTTATTTTGAGGGGAGTTTAGGCTTTCCAGCTGGGCTTCTTAATAAATATAAAACACACCTACAAAGTTTATGGTCTATCTGACTTATTTCCTTAGTCAAAATGCACTACAGAAGGCTGTTAATGTCAAGAAAAAAAAAAAAAACACTATCTGAAATCATAAGAGTATTTTAACAATAAGAGTATAGTCCTTTATGACATCTAAGTAAACATGGATGATGAACTTTAGTATATAGAATAAATTAATATTTGAAACTTGAAAGTCAAAAGGTTTTGAGTTTCAACCAATGCTCCTAAGAACTGTTGTAAACAGCATAATGGAGAGGCATTGTTGAGACGAAGTGTTAAAGGCAGAGTGTTGGAAAGAGCGGGAGCTCCTTAAAGAGACAGAGGCCAATTTCTAGGCATCAGATACAGCTGTGATGCAAAGTCAAAAGTCTTAAGTTATTTTTTTTATATACACACAATGTTTATAACTACAATTGCAGGGTATAACATTATAATGCAATGTAAAGCTCCAAAAAGTTAATTTTCCACAGTACTGCCCCCCAAACATATGATTCTCTTGAAAGTAATGCAATACAAACTAATTTATGTAAAGCATAGCGATTCTCTTCAGTTGTAGTCGGCAGCAGCCACATCTGGTTTAAAGCTGTGGAAACAACACTCTATAAATCAATGTTATTGCAATTTTGAAAGTGTAATAACAGAGATACATTGGTTTTGAAAATCTGTTTTCTAAAACACCAAGGACAAAATCTTTTGTAATGAGTGAAATGTAGCTGATTGAAACAAGACCGCCCAGCTGCCTCATGATGTTTAGTTTTTGTTATTTAAGACCTGACAGCACGCAACTCAAACACACCAAGATCAACAAATGGTAGCAGCGGGTGTTAGGATGGCAGGGCAACCAGCTTCCTGAGTGATGATAAGACTAAATATGTTTAGAGTAACAGGGCCAAAGGGAACTGTGCTGATGTTACAGTCTGCATGTACTAGAAGTACATTATCAATGCAATCAGATGGGTGAGAGGCCTTTGGGGCATTGCAACACAACTCTAACACAAATCCCTCAGATCAGAGCACAATATACATTTTTTTAACACATAAACTGATGTCTTCATGCTGCTTTCTGCCTCCCAGGACCATAAATCTTTAAATGTATAATTTCCCATAAAAAAAAAGAAAGAAAAAATGCTGAAGTTTTTCACAGATCCTTTCTTTCGGACTTAATAAAAAAAATTGTAATGATAACTTTTTATAGTAATGTAACATGTTTGATTTTTGACATGTTTGAAGGATTCTCCCAAAGATTTAAAATTTGTGTAGAAGTCTCCTATATTTATCAATAATTAATTCCATTTTGGCCACAATTTAAGACATGATTATGTATTTCTTTATCCCTTAATTTAATTTAATTATTCTTTTGTGTGTCCTTATCAGTTAATTCAAAGGCCCATCTCACTTGCCACAAGAACAATCATTCAATCAGACAATCAAGTTTATGAATATAGCAGATTTCAGCAACAAGGCAGTTCAAAGTGCTTTACATAATAGTACGAAAATAAAAACTGATGACAACATATGGTCACTAATTGAAAATACAGTAACAGACATTACACTTTGTTGAGTGCCATCATCAAAATCAATACACATCAAATATGTTGGTCAATATTCCATTTAAGGAGGACCAGTGTTTACCACTCCACTATGCACAGTCAGAATTATAGAGGATTGCAGCAAAAGTTACATTTTTAGGTCTCCAATCGTCCATAACAACTATTTAACCAGGAGACTTAAATTCCAATCCTTAAAGGGCACTTTTCCTGAAACTTTTAGAAATTTCCCTGGTTCAATGTGCCCAAATGAAATCCTCCTCCAACAGAGTCCTGCTAATGACCTAATTATTAACTTCAGGTGTGTTGAGATGGAAACATATCCAAAAGTTGCAGGAAAAGGTTCTTTTAGGATTGGAGTCTTATTGTTTGTGAGTGACTGAAGAAAAGCCCTCTCTGTTCTTTTCTCACAAATGTGGAACTCGAGAAACACCACTGGGACTTTCATATGGGACCAACATTGAGTTCTTTGGCATCATACTCTTCATCTGGGTATGGTGTAAAAGATTTGAACAAGTACTTCGTGTGCTCTCTTCAATATGGTGGAAAATAGCCTGCTTCTCTTCCAAAGGGTCAGTTGATGGTATCTTGAACTCTTTATTATAGCAGCTAATTTCATGTAAGTCTCTGATCGACCCTGCTACGAAACTGAAGATTGGTGATACTTGGCTGTTTTGATTGGTATGTGGTGAGATCCCAGGTGACACCTAGAATCTGTGCTCTACATTCTTCTTCAAAATGTCCTTGTGTAATATATTCTTACCAACAGCTCCAAAATTGTAGGATCTAAATGAAAAAGCTTGAATTAAAAAAGTGAAGTTGAAATAAAGGATCCCCTCTTTTTATAAAGCAAAAATCAACAGCAATGTTATATTCACCTTATTAAAAACTATGAATTACCCAAAAAAAAGTCATCCTAAAACCAATGTATCTATGTTTTTTCACTTGCCTGAAAAATTCTCAGTTGCATATCCACCCAATTTAGGCAACAGAGAAACATAACAAAAGTTATAAACCTTCTAGGTTGAGTAGTACCAGGTGTCAGACACACACACACACACACACACACACACACACACACACACACACACACACACATATATATATATATATATATATATATATATATATATATATATATATATATATATATATATATTTTTTTTTTTTTTTTTTTTTTAATATATTATCG